ATATAATTTTACTGACCAATGTCATCCCAATACATTTAATAAAAATTTAAAAAGAAAGAAAGAAATGAAGACGCCCCCCCCCACCTCCACCCCCAAGGTTGGTTCCTTGCTCTGTAAAATAGTGATGATACAACAGGCGGGTTAGTATTAAATGAGATGATGTTTGCGGAGGGCTTGGCGCTGAGCCAGGGGACCTAGTCAGCCATCCCTGGGCAGGAACCCCTGAGGGCTCATGAAAAAAACCCACAGCCTTATCTCCATGAGAACCAAGCATCACAACGGACCTTCCACTCTTCTCTGTAAGGACCCTGAACGTAAATAATAATTCTAGTCAATTAGCCAGCACCAACTGCACCTTGGTCTTCAGCGACAGGACTGCATTACTGACACAGACCCTCCTGCACCTCTGCCCCCCCCCAGCCTCGCTGTCACACACAGGGACACCATGAGCCGTGAGCTGTGCTCACAGACACACTTTTTGCCACACACATAGCCAAAGAACCACATTTGTAGAGTCTTGAGCCAAGCTTAACATAACACTTCCAGATCATTTTCGTTAAAGCAGCCATTCCGCAGGTTGCTTGATTTCATCTTTTTTTCCCTTGTACCAACCAACACAAATGAAAGGACATGCCCCTGGGTGAGGTGGCTATGACAGCCTGGATGTGTCACTCCCCCTTCTTCTTCACACCCTATCCCCGAAATGCTGCCACTGCAATTACCCAGAAATGCACAGGGAGGGGACATGCAGCATTAACCTGAGGACACAGGAAAGGGTGGGGACCTTTTATCCAGGACAAAGGGCAGGTGGGATTGGCCCGGAGGAGGGGGGCTCCCTAGGATTTCCCGTATGGAAAGAAACCCCAAATGACACACTGCCAAGCCTGAAGGAAAGGGCTGGAGGTCAGGATGAGGCCAACGTGAGGGGTACAATTTCTGTCCGGCGACTGCTGAGAAGGGCCCCCAGGGCCCGAGTCCTCCCAGAGCCAATAACCCTGGCAGTGCCCACTGCTTTCTAAATTAAAATAAGGACCGTGGCCACAACACCCAGTGTGGGGAGCTGGCTGGGATCAGCCGGGGGCACTGAAGCTTTAGGTTGGCGAGCTTGGGTCTCCAGGTAGATACAGGTCTGGGGTGAGCGGCCTTGGAGCGGTTTGGTGGGGACCTGTGGGCCAGTGCTTCTGCCTTAAACTGCTTCCAGACAATGCAAGTGCAAGAGTAAAGACCCCAGCTTGCTGACAGGAAAAGCTTATGGACGAAGGGACTCAGTTGCTCATGGGCTGTGGACTTGCAGTTTCAACACACATCACTGCTCTGGGACTTTCCACCACGGACCTGCTTCACATGCCTGGGACTTGCTACTGTGGACTTGTAGACAGTTTCTATTTGCTTCAGTTTCACCTTGCCTAGCTGTATCATTGGTTTATATTGTGTATATCATAGCTTGTTGCTGAGGAGAAATTGTTTCTCCTTAGCCCATGAGTTTTAGCTTTAGCAGCGATTCTCAACCTGTGGGTTGCGACCCCTTTGGGGGTCAAACGACCCTTTCACAGGGGTCACCTAAGACCATCGGAAAAGATATTTACATTACGATTCATAACAGTAGCAAAATTACAGTTATAGAGTAGCAACGAAAATAATTTTATGGTTGGGGGTCACCACAACATGAGGAACTGTATTAAGGGGTCGCGGCATTAGGAAGGTTGAGAACCGCTGCTTTAGGGAATCGCTCCCTAGAATGAGGAAATTGCTTCCCCTTAAGAATCTTGTAAACCCAATAAATGAGGCCTCAGTTTGCCACCAGCAGACTGAGTCCCTCTTGTCCCCGCACTTTGTCTCTCTTCTCTTTTATTTCTCGTCTCCCACCCAATCCTCTCAGAGACCCGTTCGGTGAGCTCCTGGCTGGCTGACGAGCCAGGGGCGTTCGGTTGAGCAAGCTGGTCTCGTTCAGCCCAGGTCTCAAGGGGCCATCCATATAAAGCCCAGTGGCACCGGTCTGGTCTCTGGTGCCATCACATCCGATGAAACACCAGTGCTACAGCCAAAAAAATATATATTTGGTATGAAATTTCAATCTGAACCCGAATCCTGTTGCAAACAAATGGCTTTCACAACATACTTCTTTATATCCTCGTTTCTCTCAAGCCCGGCAGCCGCTCCAAAAGAGCCTCTTCCTTCGCTTGAAAAACCCCCTAAATTCTTTTCCAAACTAGCCCACATGAGCCAGCATCTTCTTCTCCCAGCTCATTCACCTGACAGGTCTAGGGGATCCAATCAGCATCTATCACTTTTGATAGTGGTGGAGAGGGTGTCTCTCGCTCACGAGTAAATTTCTGCCATTCTCACTGTCAGAATGTCCAGTTTCCTTCCTCACAAAACAGAAAGGCTTAGGAACCCAGGCGGGAGGAAGAAGGGGCCCGTGAGCACCTGGGGGGTGGGGCGGGTTCCTGTCGCCAGGAAAATGGGAGTTGGACAGCTTCTCCTGATTTAAGACAGACATCAGAGATTCCTTCCCAGCACACTTAGGTCACTGGTTTTTGAGCACCATTGCTGAGGGAACAGGGAAGAGTAAAATGTAGCCTAAATCTCAGGGTTCTTTACACTTTGCACAGAGTGTGAATTTTAGAGGAACTTACCGTTTGGCTAGGGGTTTGGGGTGTTTTGTTTTTGTTTTTCTGTTTTTTTCCCTCTTGAAGCTAAGGTGAAATGACGGCTTCAGTTTTGTTCTATAAAAACGTCCGCCCACAATATTAAGACTGTGACTTATAAATGCAAGCAGGTATTAGAACAATTAGATACTGCTGGAAACGTAGATGCAAGCACAAAAGCACTTTTGTTGCCCAAGTAGGCATGTCTTTTAAGCTCCACTGTGATTTATGCCCTGCAGGGAGGAGGAAGTTAAAATGATGCTTTTCCCAAAATTTTTATTTGAGCTTGTAAAAGTAAATGAATACAAAAGGTGTGCTATCACAGGGGGTGCTTAATCTCATAATGCATGAAACAGCTGAACTGTCAAGTATACAAATGATATATATTTGGGAGGCTTTAGGATTATCAAATCTAATTTTATACCCACAACAATTGCTTATAACGTCAGTGAAAACAGAGAAAGCTTGGCTGATTTTGACTAAGAAGCGAGGATGCTTGTTTTGGACCACAAAATACAGCTTCTCTGAAATCCCTAACCCCCTGTCATATTGTCTTCACCCATAGTTATTAAGCATTTCAAAAATCAACATCTAAAAATGTGAACATCAACACATATCACTTTGGGTAGTGGTTGAGAGGTGGTTCAGTGCACATAACATGTTTCCTATTGTTACATCTGGCCTTGGTTTCATGACCTGGAAATTCTCTTGAGTCAGGTAGCTGGGGTACTTGTAAGGGTCGCCTCATTTGTTTCCCATGTCTCCGGGATCACTGTCCTCTGTTGCCTGATGTCCAGGATCTTGAAAACCCTTGTTTCACTCATGCTGCCCATTTTATTGGTTGTTTCAGATGGGAGAATCCACCCAGTCCCTGTTACCCAGTCCCTGTTACTCCATCTTACCTAGAAATAG